AATGAAGTGCCCAGGACAGATGGCAGCAGCGGCTCCCGCCCCGAGCGGGCAAAGGCCTCTGCAAACACTCATTAGCTGCTCCCACGACCGCTCTATGGGGTTATTTGTCCCATTTTGATGGGCACCAAGCCGAGGCGGCGCCGCTGCCGCCCGCTGCCTCCACCAGTCCTGCTGCCCCAGGGCTGTTTGGAGCTGCAGAGCGAAGGAGGCCAAGAAAGCCCAAGCTCGCTGGGCCACTGACCCAGCAAAACCTCCACGAGGTGCAAAACCAGCCCGGCCAAACCCTGCCCCAGATTCCCTGCAGCTCCTCTGCCCTGCGCTGCTGTGGCTCTTTTCCACCCGCAAGCTGGGCAGGGGTTGAGCTGATCCCGGGCGGTTTGCTGGGAACGGATGCCCCAGTCCGGGAAGAGCAGCCCCTGCTTCCCAGGAAGCGGGTGCAAGGCAGCCATGGGACCAGCCTTGGGAGGGCAGGATCCAGCCCTGTGACGCCAAGTGCTCCAAAAGCCACATTTCCAGCATTTTTGTGCCTGGAACAATCCAAGGCTTTGTTTGCTTTTCCCATGGCGTTTTCCTGCCTGGCTCCCGAGCGGATCCCAGCGTCTCCCTGGCCAGTACCTGCCCACCAAGAGCAGCTCTCGCTCGCCGGCCGCCGGCCTCAGCCGCCTCCAGATGTCCATGGTGAAGAGGGTGCTGCTGCTGTTGAAGATGGAGGTGAGGGACGACATGAGAGCTGCCATCATCACGGCCACCATCAGCCCCCGCAGCCCTGCGGAGCAGAGGGGCCGTGAAGGGGACGTGTTCGGTCCCCGGCACCCCCGGGGCTGCCTCCTTCCCCTACCGCTGGGCATCAGCTCCACCACGAGCTTGGGGTAGGCGATGTTGGAGCAGCCCACGGCAGCGCCGCACACGCGTTCGCACTCCTGGGGGTCCACGCAGGCCACGGCATCTGGGGGCGACACGAGGGATGAGCCAGGTTCCGAGCGCCTGGAGCATCACCTGGACCTGGAGCTGCCTCCGTTCTGCCCGGCTCAGGGTGAGAGCAGAAATTGGGGCTGCCCTATGGGCACGGGTGGGCAGGGGGTGCCCCTGCCATGCCCAGGGGACTCCCAGAGCTGGGGGGCTTTGCCCGGTACCTGGGTTGGGGCACCCACTTGCGGAGCGGCTCCCTCGGTGCAGGAGCACCCAGAGCACTCGCTGCAACGCACGGGGCAGCTCTCCAGCAACGCCCCATTACGTGGGTGTCCCAGCGGGTGCTGAGCCCTCTTTTATTGTCACGCTCATAAAATATTGAAATGGGTGACACTTAATGGCA